ATATACCTAATCTAGCCTATAAAGATGGTAAATGCTTTAATCAACAGAAAATTATATAATTGTGATAACACGCAACTTCTTTAATTAAATTTTCTTGTATAATCATTTTTTCAACACAACCTTTAGTTGGTATCACACTATTCCTTCCAAACATTTAGAAAGGTGGACATTATCCTATTGACAAAACTGAATCAAATAATTTTGGGTTGGTGCCATGTACAGAGTGCTCTTCTCCCTCCAACACATACAGTCAACTTCACTAAATTACCTCGTTCTTTCTACACTGAAGACCAAGATTAACCAATTATCTCCAATTTACTGTGTTACAGTTGGGTCTGACAATCGGAGCCTCCCCCTCCCAACATTGATTTCTACAGTCATTAACTGGAGTTTCCCCCTATTAAAATGATAGGAAACAGGGACGTGTCCACTTGAGAATCTTAATGAAACTGAGCTGCAGATATTCCCATAGCACTTCTGTCTCAAAACATTAGGGGTAGTTTCAAAAGGGGAAGCGGAATATCTGATGGAAAAAACAAGGGTTTTCAAAACCGGAAATTATACTTCATCATTACAGATTGTACAAAAATACTTCTCTCTGCAATAATTTAAATTTTTGATATAAGGGAACCAACTGCCGTGTCCCCAAGTTTCGCAAGTAGTACACAAGTAGGTGTACTTTACTTTCAGTCAACCTAACAGTGTAAACAATTTGTATTTCAGAAAATAGACTGCTGGTACGTTTCAGAAGCTTGACCTTTGAGATAACCCTCTGATCAGCGCCATTTTATTTTCTGACATTTCTGCTTGAGTAAACTTAGCAGTATGGCAGGCATGAGACATGCTGAGTCAATATATATACCAGAACAGTTCAGCTGTGTTCTAGAAATAGATTCAGCTGTTTTGAAACATGACAAATTAATGTCTGAAAATAGCTAGAGAAATCAACTAAAGTATCTATAGAGATTTATCTAGAAAATTTTCAAAGACAAGCAGGGAAAATTCTCCTATTTTCCTTCTATAAACAAGTCTAATGGTGTTACTACAAAACAAAACAGAGCAAGACTCGAAATTCAGCTGGCACATTAATTACTTCTGAAGCATTTAAAGAATGAGGAAAGGGAGACATTTTATTTCCTTATTGAAAAGAAACATTGCTATACAGAATCTGTCTGATTTTTTTCTGTCCTTTGTGGAAGCTTTTGAAATAAATATTCAAAGTAATGCTAATTGAAGAATTCTGAAGTATTTATTTTGTTACCCAGGATTGTTTTATTTCAATTCTGAAAACAAAACGAGAAGTCACATCAGGCTGTATATAAAGCTACTCCAGATGTAGCTCATGGTAATAGGACTGTGTTGGATGTGTTACTTACTGGGTTATAACACAACAGTTTCCTCAAAACTTGATAATCTTCTTCCTTGTAAGTTCTATGTTACCCTCGGTCTTTTATTTAATACAAGTTACCTTTTACAATATTTTATCCCTTCTGACCATGAAAGTGGGTCTAGTTCATTCAACTGAACAAACTTGGTACCTCATCATCCCAGAGTACTCCTAGTCCAATATCATGATACTGTGCCTCTTAGTTATTGAACAGAAATTGTTTAAAGGGGAAAAAATGACTCTGGATGGCTAGCTGGACGACAGAGTTGCCAGGCCGTGGCAAATAGTTCACCCGTCCCATGGAATATATAGTGAGCTAAAAACCAGACAAAATATCCAGCTGCCTTTTGATGATTTTAGTATCTGGATTACACACATCCCCAACTATTCTACACTTGTACATTAACAAGTAAACTATTCTAGATAGAAAAAAGTACTAGTCTTAGTTGAATTGACTGTACTCAATTTATGCTGTTTGGCCATGTCTCTGTGTGAGTTTGTCGATTTGTATCCCTTAATGTTACACCTTCCATCAAGAATTTGTTGTTGGCATATTGCACTGGCAACAAATTAACATCAAAGAGCCTTCGGACACATTAGTCTGAAGTATATAAAATGGAGTTAATCATGGATCGCAATGGGGAGGTAAAAAAAAAAACATCACCCAACTTCACTCCTTCACAGATATGTTAGCTTTGTTAAATTTTCAGAGTATTTTTTTTTCTCCCTGAAGATTTGAATATATTCCTACATAAAGAAAAAAAAAGAATTTTGAAAGAGTAAATCCTATTCTGATTAAATTTTGTAGAAAAATAATTTCAGGTCAATATATTGTTTGAATTTTTTTTTTAAATTTCATTTTGACATCAAGCTGACTATGCTGATCATCACAGGGATAACTAGGTATTTAAGAAAGCGTCTGTACTGGTAGCATCTGCCTTACGACACCTATGATAATTAACCCTACATTTTATTAATCATTTTCCTCCTACAGTTATCTCTTTGTATCAATAGCACCCACTCACTTTATCTTGTCTCCTGGCCACATCAGTTCATCTTTTATCAGCCAAATGTCATTACATTATATCTAAGTGATTTACAATGTATATAATAATAGATATAGACAAGCCTAAATTAAATTTATCATCTAATATAACATTTTTATGTATTATCTAATCCTTGTTTATCAGGTAATTTTTTATCAAATCACATTTTTTCTGGCATACTCACAACTTCTGTTCATAAAGAAACACTGGGTCAAATCCCCCTTGATATCATTGATCTTGCATACATAAATATTTTTTGAAATGGTTCTTTGTCTATTTTTTATAGAGAAAATACATTTCTTTTTCCTGTATAAAAGTTATTTTTTCATAATTTTCTTGTGTGTTAATAATTTTGTTTTTCATTTTTCAAGATTTAACAGTGCCTAATTCCTTGTATATAAGTGGCAAGCCGTCAGTGTGGTGTGTGTTCTTAAGAGAGTGTCTTAACCCCTGTTTGACCAGTAGTCAGTGGACTGTGAGTTCTATAGAAAGTGTCTGAACCCCTGTATGACCAGCAGTCAGTGGATTGTGTGTTCTATAGTGTCTGAACCCCTGTATGACCAGCAGTCAGTGGACTGTGTGCTCTATAGTGTCTGAACCCCTGTATGACCAGCAGTCAGTGGACTGTGAGTTCTATAGAGTGTCTGAACCCCTGTTTGACCAGCAGTCAGTGGACTGTGTGCTCTATAGTGTCTGAACCCCTGTATGACCAGCAGTCAGTGGACTGTGAGTTCTATAGAGTGTCTGAACCCCTGTTTGACCAGCAGACACTGGACTGTGATTTCTATAGAGAGTGTCTGAACCCCTGTATGACCAGCAGTCAGTGGACTGTGAGTTCTATAGAGTGTCTGAACCCCTGTTTGACCAGCAGTCAGTGGACTGTGAGTTCTTTAGAAAGTGTCTGAACCCCTGTTTGACCAGCAGTCAGTGGACTGTGTGCTCTATAGTGTCTGAACCCCTGTATGACCAGCAGTCAGTGGACTGTGTGTTCTATAGAGTGTCTGAACCCCTGTTTGACCAGCAGTCAGTGGACTGTGAGTTCTATAGAGTGTCTGAACCCCTGTATGACCAGCAGTCAGTGGACTGTGAGTTCTATAGAGTGTCTGAACCCCTGTATGACCAGCAGTCAGTGGACTGTGTGTTCTATAGTGTCTGAACCCCTGTATGACCAGCAGTCAGTGGACTGTGAGTTCTTTAGAAAGTGTCTGAACCCCTGTTTGACCAGCAGTCAGTGGACTGTGTGCTCTATAGTGTCTGAACCCCTGTATGACCAGCAGTCAGTGGACTGTGTGTTCTATAGAGTGTCTGAACCCCTGTTTGACCAGCAGTCAGTGGACTGTGAGGTCTATAGAGTGTCTGAACCCCTGTTTGACCAGCAGTCAGTGGACTGTGTGCTCTATAGTGTCTGAACCCCTGTATGACCAGCAGTCAGTGGACTGTGAGTTCTATAGAGTGTCTGAACCCCTGTTTGACCAGCAGACACTGGACTGTGATTTCTATAGAGAGTGTCTGAACCCCTGTATGACCAGCAGTCAGTGGACTGTGTGTTCTATAGAGTGTCTGAACCCCTGTTTGACCAGCAGTCAGTGGACTGTGAGTTCTATAGAGTGTCTGAACCCCTGTATGACCAGCAGTCAGTGGACTGTGAGTTCTATAGAGTGTCTGAACCCCTGTATGACCAGCAGTCAGTGGACTGTGTGTTCTATAGTGTCTGAACCCCTGTATGACCAGCAGTCAGTGGACTGTGAGTTCTTTAGAAAGTGTCTGAACCCCTGTTTGACCAGCAGTCAGTGGACTGTGTGCTCTATAGTGTCTGAACCCCTGTATGACCAGCAGTCAGTGGACTGTGTGTTCTATAGAGTGTCTGAACCCCTGTTTGACCAGCAGTCAGTGGACTGTGAGTTCTATAGAGTGTCTGAACCCCTGTATGACCAGCAGTCAGTGGACTGTGAGTTCTATAGAGTGTCTGAACCCCTGTATGACCAGCAGTCAGTGGACTGTGTGTTCTATAGTGTCTGAACCCCTGTATGACCAGCAGTCAGTGGACTGTGAGTTCTATAGAGTGTCTGAACCCCTGTATGACCAGCAGTCAGTGGATTGTGTGTTCTATAGTGTCTGAACCCCTGTATGACCAGCAGTCAGTGGACTGTGTGTTCTATAGTGTCTGAACCCCTGTATGACCAGCAGTCAGTGGACTGTGAGTTCTATAGAGTGTCTGAACCCCTGTTTGACCAGCAGTCAGTGGACTGTGTGCTCTATAGTGTCTGAACCCCTGTATGACCAGCAGTCAGTGGACTGTGAGTTCTATAGAGAGTGTCTGAACCCCTGTTTGACCAGCAGACACTGGACTGTGAGTTCTATAGTGTCTGAACCTCTGGTTTTCCACTTTTGAAAATGGTCTATTGTAACTGCATTAGAAGCTTGACTATTGTACTCTATACACAATACTTATATTTATTGAATGATAATTACAAAGCATTATTCTTATACATATCCAGGAATAATACAGGTGCTTGTCACTGGTCTTATAACGGACAGCTTAAGTGTAATTATACAGAATTACTTACCTAAAATGAACAGTCATAACAGAGCCTGAAGAATATAGTGTGGGTGGTATTACATTTCCACACAATCCCATGTTACCTCCAGCCTCTTCCTGAAAAGTTAACAAAAATTATATCTGTTAATCAAACATGTCCATATAAGCTAAAAATAGCATTACACACACTAAACTTATTTCCAATGAATTTGATAAAATTTGTTTGAAGGCCAGTATATTCATGGCTTCAGAACTGAAACACTTTTCTAAAATAAATAAAACCAAATGAATTTATCAATAATTATAAACATAAAATGGGCGGAGACAAGATTTAATAATGAACTGCAAAATTTGCACTCAACACTGATTTTGATCTTACGACATGGTAAGATTTAGATTTCTTGACCATATGGAAACATCCATCAGCTGATTTGAAATGTCATTCACATGAGGTATTTTAAAGGTGCCTCACCATTCATATCTCCTTACTTATCACTGAGTGATGACCAATTTATCAGTGGACATATTTCAGGATCAGATTGTATGTGTTTATAAATAAAAAGTGTTAATCATTGATCTATAAGAGTACAAACTACTGGTGTAAAAAAGTAAAAAAAATCTCCACAGATAGCCGTGATCTGATAAACTGATTTCCAAGTCCATTTCAATACTTAGACATGTACATGGGCAGGAAGTGAAGTGTTAATTGTTTGTGTGTGTATAATTAGTTTAGCTGGGGAATCGAGGGGAGACTATGAGATGTTAAATTATAAATTGGGCATAATTGATTTATTAACTTTTCTTTTTTTCTTTTTTATGATAGACCTGACATTGACACAAAATACTTACTATGATTTACCTTAGCTGTGAACACCTTGTGTCATGTGTAACTAGCTTATCATTTGACACAAAATACTTACTATGATTTACCTTAGCTGTGAACACCTTGTGTCATGTGTAACTAGCTTATCATTTGACACAAAATACTTACTATGATTTACCTTAGCTGTGAACACCTTGTGTCATGTGTAACTAGCTTATCATTTGACACAAAATTATTATTCACAATTTTGACAGGTTTGATAAAAAAACATTAAATGTAACTAAATGTTCATTTTCCAATAAATGCAAATCCAAACACTTAAATTCAGATATAGTAAATATCATAAGTGGAAACATCTGGATTTGAATCCATGCCAAAGTAACCTACAGATAAACAAAATCTACAAAACAAGCATTACATAACATTAAAACCAAATATCAACCAAGATTTTGTAGGTTTGTTCTATAATCTCCAGGTGACTCAGACAAAGTTTTTTTTCAACAAGCTATATTTAATTTTTTCTCCCAATAGCTCTACAAGTGTAATACCCAGAAGAGTACATTAATAATTTCACTGTTAGACAACGTGACAGTAGGAACTGCCAGACTATAAACATGGACATTTCTTCTTCACTACGTAATTCTACAACACCTATAAAGGGCTAGTTATTACCTCAGTGTGACTCAAAGGTAATTCCATTCCAAGATTATTCTTTGTCTAGACAACATTAAAGTGTACATCAACTCATAGACAGAATGCCATATACTCAGGAGGGGGATGATTTGGAGAACGTTGTGGGGTGGAAGGCAGTCCTGGTGGTGGATGGAGATGGGGAGGAGCACATATGAAGGAGCAATGGAGGAAGTGACTTTCTAGAGGAAAGATGGAGAAACAGATAGTGGTGAGGTGATGGAAACACATAAAGTAGAAGATGGGGTGGTGGATGGGAACAGGGGGATAGTAGGGAGATGGCTGGGAATGGGGGAAGGTCAGACACAATACAGAGGGTGGGAGTGGGGGAAGGGAACAGGGGGATAGTAGGGAGATGGCTGGGAATGGGGGAAGGTCAGACACAATACAGAGGGTGGGAGTGAGGGAAGGGAACAGGGGGATAGTAGGGAGATGGCTGGGAATGGGGGAAGGTCAGACACAATACAGAGAGTGGGAGTGGGGGAAGGGTGGGAGGAGTTAAAGCTCGAGGGAAAGGAAGAGAGACATACACATAGATAAAGAGACAGGGGAAAAATGTCAGAATTGTCGTCAGAATTGTCGTCAGAATTGTTGTTCCTTACAGTCAAAAAGGTGCCATAAAACACTGTAGAAGAGAGTGAGAAAAAGGACAGTGGCTGTGGAGACAGGATTAGAAGGGAGACACACTTGATGGATTAGGTCATTGTGATATTGGAGAAAGAAGACGGTTCAGTTTTATCAAACTGTTGGGGTACCTATAGCATTTACCATAGACATGTCTATTACAACCTTAATGACGACTGATCATTAAAACGTTAGTACACATAATTATAAACCTATCATCCAGACAATTATAAACTTCAGTTGATGTAAGAAATAGTTCCAGGTAAAAACACATTCTGTACATTCTATAAGGAATATTTATTCCTTTATCTATCCCTAAGTATGAAAATAGCACATAAAAAACTGACACCAAGGGAGATAAATCATTCCAAGAATGTACTTAAATATACTCCAATCATCAAAGGAGAATTTCATCATTAAGTGACAATTCACAAATACTTCAGCTGAAGTTTTTTATTCCCTGAGAAACACTATATTTTTTTAAGTCTAAGAGTGCAAGTTTCTAGCAGGATTAATATCTACAGTGAAAAAATACACAAGAAAACTGCTGCATGTCAATCACCCTGTCAAGGTTTCTACACAGTGATATTATCCAAGCACATCTGTGAAAGCAACAGCAGTTTTCCCAATACTCCAAACATCGTGATCTGTAAAGCCTGATCTCAGAGACATTTCCAGAAAGCAATTTCATTGCCAACAGAAATATCCTGCTTTAAAGCTGATTATGAATTATCAAATATCATAAAATGGTAATAGTCGAAAAGGAATAAAAATGTCAGCAGTGTTAAGTTAGATAAGGCACACACTGTCCTCTAAGTGATTCTGGATTAAAGCTACTATGAGGTCATGACTCGACTTCAAACAGAATGAGAGGTAACATTTGATAGGCTATTTAACTAGCTCGTCATAGAGTTTGCCAGATATATGGAGGATGTTATCACGGCAGCAGTCCGAGAGATATAAAATCCAGATATGTCTTGTAGTAAAACACTTATCACTCTCCCTCACACAAAAGTTAATAGCAGTAGTGGTGAAAAAAGGCCAAGGTAATTGATTTTTCTGCTCATTGAAGTTTGTAATCTCATCTTCAAATCTGCCATAAACAATTCCAATGAGATAGAAGTTTTCAGAGTTGTAGTCACGGTCGCTGAACCCATCGTGTTTTTTATGTTTTCTCTTTGGAGTATTTCAAATAAAAATCTCCAGCATGTTAGGTGTTTTCTGCAAACTCATGCTGAATCAACACATTGATTTCAATGTTGGAGACTGAAGATTCCAGCATAATATTCTACATTGTTAGGATTTTCAAAAATTTTCGAAATTTTTGTTGATGTACCACTAGTAACAGCAAAATTAAAAAGTTTTCTAATTCAGAGTGTTGCTACAAAAAGACATTAAAGTGACATCACAGTGATATTTTTTTCTTTAATTTTTATAATTATTGCAAATATTTATCAAAAGTTTTATTTTTTCACCTTATGAACAATGATAGAAAGTTTCCTCTGAAATATGCTCACAGAGATGTGAATTATCATAAAGTTACACAAATATAAAATCATGAAAGGAAAATCTCTCACCATTGGTCAACAATCTGTATAGGTCAATGTTTGTGCCATATACGATAACAAACGTGCACAATACCGTATCAGCAAACAAGAATGGTTGTCCTACATGAATAGGTTGCAATTTTTAAGATGTTACAATTTCAGCCACAAAGAACAGTATGGCAAATGGGAACTTATCAGAGGAGAAGGCAGTCAGGATTGCGATGTATTCTGTTGGAATGACTGATGAACTGACCCGAGTGGAACTAGGTGAATGTACGACTGGAGTAAGACTTGTACAGAAATGATAACTATTGTAATTCTAAATAAAATTGTGTTATCAAACAACTTCTACTGATATTTCACAAATTTGTGCTGAAAAACAGGTATTTACGTTTTGTGTTATTTTTCTCCACCATCACCTTCCCATATGGTCGTGTATACAAATGAACTGCTTTGTTTACCTAACTGACATGTGATGTTATCTAAATTTAAGAGGTGTTTTCCAAATTGAGTGGTCAAGCTGGACATCGGAAAGCAACTGTGAATATCAAGATAGGACAGAAACATAACTAAAAGTGTATAAAACGGTACCAATCAATAAAAAGAATTTTTCTGTGATGTCCCTTTAATCTTTTAATTGCGATCAGGAAGTTGATATGGTGAAACAAAGGCAAGATTATTGATAACAAATGAAGATTTCTCATGTTTATGTATGCACGACATCAAATTTACATTTTGACTTGACAAACATGCCCATGAGAGGTTTATCACTTCAGATACCTTGGTAGCCTCAGACCAGAAATTATCACTTGATCAGCTCTTTGTAGATATACAGGATTCAGAACCAAATCCTGGTCATTGCATGAGATCACATGTGCTTCCTAACAATTCAGTCACAAACTGGAGAAACACCTGTATTCCCTTATAATTCTCCTAGAATATGGTGCCATTGCATTTTCCACAAATGTTTTGTCAGTTTTAAACAAATCCTAACACTATTACTGATTTGAACATTCATAACTTTATCGTCACATTCATTACTGCACACTTCTACAGTACAGGTGTACATGTGGTTTTAGAACCAAAACAAAATGACAGTTTTAATACATTGTGAAAAAATATATATGTATTGTGTTTGAACACAGTATCCAGTAATTTCTAAAGATTCAGGCGATAAGTTTGATAATCTTAATACCAATTTCGTTTTCTTATATTGATCCCATGGTTGTTTGTGCAGGTTGAGTTTCTTCATAAGTAAAGAGTTATGTTACATTTGTAATACAATTTATGATAAATTCAAAAATTTCAAAATGTCATGATTTAATTTTTCCTACTGTGATTTACTATTTCTGAATAGCAACATTCCAGCATCCCTAAACTATGGTGTTGACATGTAGTAGTTGATTCAATATTCTAGGGCTTACATCCTCAAT